ACATAAAATACATCAATCAGAGGAAACAGTGACTACAGTGAGTGGTTGAAGATATTTACATTGTTTGTTGTGTTCTTCTAGAGATCTCTGCACTTGCCCACTACACTCACTGCTCTGATGGGTGCTCCAGTCAGCTCATTTGGCTCATTAAGACAATAATCAATTACTTTCATGGAAAAGTTACTGCCTATGCACAGTAAAAGGGGAATGGCTGATTCAAGTTCCACCTGGTAGCCATCTTCTTCCCTTATTAGCATAACATTTAATCCTTTCACAATCTCTGCTTTTGTGATGACAGAAACCACTATTTATTGTGCTCCCAGCAGCTTTTACTGTAACCTGTACAAGGAGCTAGGCAGGTTCTATGAGCAAACCGTTTGACAGAGAGCTCCCAGAATGCCTCCAGCTGCCAACCAGCCTTGGGTCTACTCACCAGCTGTATGGTCACTGTCCCTCCGCACTATATTAGCAGAGCAACTGGTTAGGAGTTTTCTGATTGAACAGACAAGAGTTTATTATTAAAAGAGAAGTTCAAATAAGGCCTCTTCTTGCTTACTAGCAACCAGTTTGTGAGAAAAGAGCATGCTTGGACATCCAGGAATCCCAAAGGTATGGATGACCCAACTACTATGTACAGATTTTTCATTGCACAGAATTTTCCCACAAGGCAGACACTTTTTTTCACCATCTCTTCTCACTTTTTTAATGTATCTACAATTATGTTATGCTTGTACTATAGAAAACTACAACCATCCTCATGTTACATAGAAGAAATAGACAGCAGGCTTGCCAGCTGGTAAAGAGGACTTTAAACAGTACACTAGGGAACAGTGATAATAGTTTGCAATTAAGTAAGGGAGGTCAGGTTGGTAAGTAATGGGACAAGGTAATAGGAGAAAGAGAGCCCTTGGGAAGGATGAAATAGATATAAAGAAGCAATCTCAAATGCCCATACGCAAGCACGCAGCCAGACAAACAAACTGAAGCAACAAGACTCCACATCTATGACATCACTTGAATCACTGAAACATTATGAGATCAGTCATACCAGCAGAATTCTGGGATGTTTGGTTGGCTGGGTGGATGGACAGACAAAGGCTGTCAAAAGAAATATTAAACCATTGCCCAGGAACTCGTATGATTTTGGGAAAGCCAAAGTTGAAACATGGTGGGAGGCATCAGGGACAACAAAAGCTTCTACTGCTACATTAGTATTAACAGAATACACAAATATGGGCCTGCTGCTGAATGAGATGGGTAGGCACAGATATGGCTAAAATACTCAAGGCTTCCTTTGCCTCAGTCACCACCAGAAAGGTCTCTCAGGCCACTATGTCTATAGGCAGGAACAAAGGGGAAGAGCCTTCCTCATGGCAGAGGATTGAGGCAAGTATTTCTTGAGGAACCTTGTCTCATCCGATGTGATCAGATCCCACACACTCTGTCAGGTGAGGCTGAGGTTGCTTAGCCTGGAGAAGGCTTTAGGGCGCACCCAATAGCAGCTTTGCAGTGCATACAAGGACATTGAAACAGGGACAAAGATCACTAGAAGGATAATGAAATACTGGAACATTGGTTGAGAGAAATTAGGGAGCCTTGGTCCTTGGAAAATGTTCAAGAATTGACGTGACAAAGCCCTGGAAACCTGATCCGAATTCCACATCGACCCACTTTGAGCAGAAGACCAGGATAGAGATCTTCCAAGGTCCCTTCCAGCCTGGATGGTTTTATGAATTATCACAGAGAGTTTAAAGTGAGTTGCCAGATACCCATCAGAATGTGGAGGGAAAAGTAATGGGCTCAGTTATTTGCCAAGACTTCACTTTACTTTTTCCCTTCCTGATGAGCCAGCACATCAAAGTCATACAATGTTTTTACAAAATACATGCGCACTATTGCATCCAGGAACACTCTCTAATTCCCAGGTGTGAATCCAGAATCATACCACATCCTGACTGTATCTGGAGCTCTCATGTCACCCTTGTGAGACTGGAAATTTGCAGTTCTCCTTGCCCTGACTGACTGCACCTTGCACATCACAAAAACAATCCCACGCAGGCCTCTTGGAAAGCCGATCTGATACAATAGATGGTAAACTGAACAGTCAGCAGCTTAAACACCCATGAACCTGCCACGGTGTGAATTTAAATCAAGATACAATTCCTGTATTGCTTTCCTGATTTAATGGAACTCCTGAGAACCTCCCCACAGCTATGACTCATAAGACTCATATGACTATGGCAAAGATTACTGCAGCAAACTTCACATAAACAAGGACCAATGACCATTTCTTCTACATATATATTCTCACTGTTGTCTTCTGGATCATTTATTTTCCATCTTTAATTTCACTTCCACTTTTTTGCATTGCTCCAGGCTAGACAATTTACCCTTACTATCTTCTAAACATTTCCCTTTGGGAGGAATATTTTTGAGTCTTTAATATTTCAGCATCAAGAAGAATGTTATTTCTTGAGCTACACACTCAGGTATTTCCTTATTCCCTCCAATTCCTAGGGCATTTTCATTCTCTCTGTAAAAGAGACCTTTGGGATTAACAACTGTATAATATCTTTCAGTTAATTGTATATATCTTAAAAGTCTTGTAAATTTAAACCTTCTAATCGGAATCAACTTGGTCTTATCAAATGGAAGATCCTTGTGACAGTGTCAGGTTTTTTTTTTTTTTTTATGGGTATAATAAATTAGAGCTAATAAATATAAGGTGAGTGATACAGAAATAAATCCTCTTAATAGGAATATGGATTAATTCCTACTACTATGATCAGGTTATAAAAGAGAGAAAACAGTACTATGTAGACCATAGAAGGAATAATCTGCAGAGAAAAAAATGATCAGATACCATCTGCCACCCCAGCAAGAAGAAAGAAACTACTTCCAGAAGCAGGGAAATGCATATCTGAGATAGAGAAAACGAATGAGAAAATGAAAACATACGGAAGGGACTGATACAGCATAGCAAAAGTAACAGTGGCTATGGAAAGGTCCATGTTTTGTTTGAAACTGGTTTGTCATAAAGCCAAGTATTTACTTCACTAAGTAAGGAATTACTTAAACATACACTAGGAATTACTCAAAACATTTGTGGAACGATTATTACTTGCTGCCCAATCAGCTAAAGGCTTGGCTTTTTAATTTTGTGCTAAAGATTATCACATTTCATGTGTAAGAAGTAATGTTGCCAGAGAGCTGATTATTGCTTCATCTCAGGCAATACCTTCAGTGCTGATTTGAGACACAAATCCTATCTCTAAAATCAGCAATCTAAAATCTCCCTCCAGTTTCCACTCACTTTGGGATCTCAGGATCTAATCTACAGAAAAATAAATAGAAAAGACACCTTGCTTATGATCCCAGAGGAAGGACTAGCTGTAAACAAGTGGGGATTTCAGGGGTGTGTTTTAATTATTTGGTTCATTTCTTGAGAGAACTGAGGAAGGAATGAGACCATGGGCAGGAACTGTGATTGGGGAGCCTGGCAAACCGGGATGGGAAGAGATGCTGGCAAGAAAATGCTGTGTGCAGGGGGCTGTGCTGTGATTCAATTCAGTTCAGCAGTTTATCAGATTGACAAACTCTCCAGATGTTGCCAAAGTGAAAGAGAAGAGCCAGACCCTACAGGTACTTGTTGGGTAGGTGTAATCCAAATAAAACAGCTCAAACTGGGATCTCATGTTGATTCCAAATGCAGTACAAGCTGTCACATAGCATGGCTGCCATCTCTTCCTACAGGGCTCAGGCAGCTTTTCCTCCTGTTCCACTGTTCAGCATTTCCTGTAGCTCCTCATAATTCTAGGTAATGGCTTTTTTATTGTATATGCATCAATCTGATCTGTATCGATCACAAATGGGTGCACAAACTTCATCCTTGTCTCCTCTGGTCACAGGGTAAACTCTCATCTCCAGTTTTCATTTCATATTTCATAACGAAGTATTAAATTGAAATTACAATAAAGATGAATCAAGTAGAATTTGATTTATACAAAGACAAAATCCAAACATAGCATTCATAGAAAGCACTATGCAGCTGTGTATAACATAGCAGGTAAGGATCTGTTCGAGTCAAAGGCTTTCTTGGTGCCCATCAGTTTGCTTCTGTGCATGCTCACAGCTGCCCCAGAACCTCCGCCCATCAGCATCCGCACACAACATCCCTCAGCTTTCATCCATAGAGGATTTCTAGGCCACGCTTCACACACACTAATGGGATTAAGCTCTTCACAAAGCACTGCTGCAATCTATTCCTGCATGGAGAGCTTTCTGCTCTCACTGCCCACTGTGTAACTGGCAGCCCTGCAGAATGAAGCAGCTCCAGCACGTGCCCTCCAGCACAGCCCCGACCAGTTGGCTCAGACAGCGCGGGCTGCCTGTCCGCCTGCCCCAGGTTGTCTGCTGGACAGAGAATTTACGATGGATTGGGGTTGAAAGAGAGCAGAAAAACCTGTGTCTATATTGTAAAGACAGTGGGCAGAATACAGGGAGCCCTGTTCCTTTGCCAGTGATGGCATTTTCCATAAACCAGCCAGTGCAGAACTTGCAAAGCTCAGTGCCCTGTGCCAGTACAAATATTGTGCAAGACCACTGTTAGAAAAATAACTTTTTGGCAGAGATCATTCCTGCCTGGGACAGCAAAAAGAAAGACTTCCAGCTCCACAAAAGAGTGCACACACTTGTACGCTGCTTCATCACCTCTGCAATTATTTACCACACATGCTGATTTTAATCCTGCTCAAGTCAATAAAACTGCTGACACTCTAAATTTAAGTATAGAAAGTAGTTTTTTGCTGGATTTTGGTTAATATTCTAAATTCATTCTTCATTCTAAATTCATTCATTCTTTTCATTCATTGTTATCTTAAGAATCAACAAAATGCAAACCCGAACATCAATTTCCATCAATTTCCATTGGAAATTCCCTGGTTTTGAAGGTGCTGTCCTTGCTAATTCCCAGGTCTTTATTTATTTCCATCTCTGCACAGGAGAAGCACAACCCATGGCACAGCCCAGCAGCAGTTTGAATGCACCAGCACTGAGTGAGCAGAAATGACGCTGCATCTGTCTGCAGGGTTTGCTCACCTCGAGCTAGGATGACTTAGCAGAACAGCCCTGCATCCCTGCAGCACCTCAGCTCCAGCCACCAACATCCTTGCTGACTGCCTGAAAGAGCCTTGATTTGTCCCATGGTCAAACCCCAAGCCTGTGCTGAGCTGTTACAGAAATGGGCACCACTTGGGGCTCAGTCCTGATCCCTCTGCAATCTAAGCATTCACACTCCTTGGGAACAGCAGGAGCAAGATCTTTCCCTGACAAATTTCCCAGATCTCACTGAGAAAGTGGGCAAAGGAAAAAATAACACATTTTTTAAAGACTTGTAGTGCACCAAATGTGATATTTTTTTGACAGAAAGCTGTCTGTTCAGTACTGCTTGCCCTCCATGCCACTCTTCCAGAGAGCAGCAATTAATTATTCATTCTTTTCTCCCTTTAAAGAAACAGTAGGCAAGATGCTGAGCTTATCAAAGTCAGCGGCAGCTCAGGGTTCTCATGGGAGAAGCAGTGCTTGCTGCGGATCACGCCTAACAGAGCACGCCTGAGCGTGTTAGCACAGCACCAGCTCAGGGCTGAAGTTCATGCGAGGAGACTGGTTGAGGTCATCAGCTGAGGAGCCACGAGTGTAACGGCGGGGCTGGAGCACACGGCTAAGCGGCAGGGCTGGCTGCTGGCTTTTACAAATGCACTGATTTTTCTCATTTTGCTTCCAGAGTTTTCCTGCAAAGCTAGCACGAACACTACAGAAACTAGGCAGTCACTAAATATGTCCGATCTTCCATGTTGCCAACACAGCAACAACGGAAACTGGGGGGAATCGGTGTTTTTAGGAGGCTCCTGGCTTTTCCTTTTCTTCCTAAGTGTGTAGAAAGAAAACAAAGGTAGGCATAGCCTCCACCTTTCTAGAATGAGCATGGAGACCATTAGCAAGGCTCTCAAGCCTGACAGCTGGCACTTGGTCACAGACATAAGTGTGGTGGCATGGTTGAACTTCACAAATTTTGCTAACGCAATGGTGCTGTGGATATTGTGAACCACGTGTTTTTACCAGGACGCACAATTGTACATCTCACTCCCTTTGAAAATCATCCTTTCAAACATACAATAGAAAAGCAATCTGTTTTGTTTGAGGTCTCTTATTCCTCCACCCATGCAAAGCTCAATCTCGCCCTATGGACACTGCAGTCACTGTTATTATGGCAGTGCAGAGGCTCTGGATAGAATCAGTCCTTGGCACCTTGAGGGATAAACAAACACAGAACTGAAGTGGTCTCAGCTCCAGAGGACTCACTTTCTATTGTTTTACTCCACAGCAATGAGAAGTGATTAAATTACAAACTTCATTCTAGAAAAATGGCAGTAAAATCTTCACGCTATGCCATAACATCAAAAATTCTCAGCCAAACACTGCTGGAGAAACTATTTAGAAGTACTTCTGAATCCTGGAATATATTTACTGGAAATAGTTCACTCTTCTTCCTGTAAAAGCCAGATGCATTAATTAACATGAACTCTATTTGCCCAAGCTGAGCCTCTGGGCACAGTAATGAAGCAGAGAAAATTTGGTTTGAGAGGCAAAGAAAACACTCTCTACTTACTCAATTTAAAAGAAAAGGAAATCCAGCTGCTCAGATGTCTGTGGACCTTGATGTGTGGGCACTGGTGATCCAGTTTAATGTTCACATCACTACTCACTGCATGCCACAGTCCACAGCCACCCCTTAATTGGCCGTAGAGGGTTATTTCAGCTGCACATTGTGCCATGGACTCAGCCTGTATGTGCCATGGACTCAGCTCAGAGGTTACTCACACAAAGTTTATTGGCTCAGGTGCTGCACAAACAAAGTTAAGCAGTGTCAGATCAGATCTAGAAGCAGTTTATCCATTTTTATGTTATCTGGAACATAATAATATAAAATAAACTCTACTGACCCAAGCTAGTGTTGTTCACTGGACCCCGGGAAGATTCAGAAGTATGGCACAGGCACCTTTACTCATGGAGCCCCGTTAAACCCAGCAAGCTTTCGCTCAGGAAGGTCTGTCCTGATCCAAGCTGGTTCTAGGGAGTTGCACTCAAATATCCATGCACAATACTTAATTCATGAAAAATATTGAGCAATGGTGAAACAAAGCAGAGAAACCTGAGTGGCTCTTGATGGAGAGAGCCTCAGGACTCAGCCAAAGCAGAGGAACTGTCATGGATCCACAGCAACTATGCAGAAGCAGTCAAGTATCTCAATGCTTCAGAAGCTTCAAAGGATCCTGTGGCATTTGTCCACCTGTGCGACAGCATCTTCAAGTTAACTCAGCTTCATGTTATTCTGAACAGGGAAGTGAATGATTGAACTTCTTTTACTCTTTGAAGAGCAAGCAAAAGCCTCAGCACTGCTTATCATTTTTTATTTCCTGACATATACTGTATGAGCTAAATAAAACCATAATCATAACCTGAAGTGAGGTTAGCCTCACAAAACTGAAATTCACTTCTTCCAAAAACCAAGGCAAGAGGTCTTGCAGCACATCTGGAAGGGCAGGAATCTACCCCCAGGAGAAATACGTGCATCTCCTCCCAGAGATAAGATCCAATGATGAGATAGAGCTCTTAGGAAAGTATAAAGAAAAACTGGCTGCTGTAATACACACTTTGAACCACAAAATCTAATAAGTTCTTGAAGGACAGCCATCCTAAGATAAAATTCTTGTTGACCCAGGTCTTGCAGACAGACAAACATCTCTTGCTAAGCTGGAATTTAGGAAAGAGCTGCTATACCATGAACTGAACAGCAACTTCAGTAGACAGACCACCAAGCAGTATTTTAATAGAATATTAGTTTCTGTATATATACATAAATATATCTTACATATATAATTATATATATTGTATGTACAGAGATCCAAGAATCTGAGTATCAAACTACATATAATCTAGTGTGGCTGCCCTCCGAAAAGCTCTGCCATTTCCCATAAGTAGAATCTTGCACTGGATTTAACCTTATCCTATAGCACATCTTATTTTCTTACACAGTACGGTCAGTTATTTATACAGCCTGCATAACGCAAAATTTTTAAAGATTATTTTGACTTACAAGTTAATTAGGCTTCTGCACAAGTGTTTGGATAAATTACAGGAGAGAAATACTAGTGCTTGCTTCACACTGAATATGATTTAAAGTGATGTGTCAGGATTTTCTTTTATTTGCTTTATGCAAAATAATCCACTGTTCCATGATTCCTTGTGATTAGGATACTATTTTGCAAGACTATTGATGGATGCCGTTTAGCAATGAGAATAAAATTCTCAAGCCTGCTGTAATCTACTTAGATGGTACTAACACCTGAGCCAGTTGTGCACTGATCATCTCTGGAGCTTCATCCATGGTGAAAGAATGCCATTAACTATACAGAGGAAGTACTGAGGTGCTGCAGAAAGGTGTAGGGTAGGAAGCTTTAGGAAGGACAAGAGAAAATTTAGGAGACTTAGTCCTGATGAAAAGTCTCCAGGTTCCACTCTGTTCTCTTCATAGTTTCACAATGAAGGGTGCACTGAGCTGGGGGAAGACATCTGCTGCCAACTGTTAAAAGCTTCAACACCACCACGAGCACTGGCTGCAGCAACCTGTGCAAACCTAAAGCACAAAGAAGACCAGCTATATCTACATATTTAAACAGAAATTATCAGTTTTAAAATATAATGCTGGCATCTAATTCATAGAGTCGTAGAATTCCAAGGTTGGAAAAGACCTCTGGTCCGACTATCCACCTACCACCAATATAAGCCCACAAAACCATGTCTTAATACATCTAAATGTTCCTCCAGGGAGAGTGGCTCCACCACCTCACTGGGCAGCCTGTTCCAGCACTTGACTCTCTTTGTGAGAATAAATTGTTCCTAATATACAACCTGATGCAACCTGAGGCAATTACATCCCATCCTATGTTACCTGGGAGAAGAGACCAAGACACCCCTGGCCCCTCCTTTCAGGTGGTTGTGGAGAGTGATAAGGTTTCACCTGAGCGTCTTCTCTAGACGCTGAACAATCCCAGATTCACCAATATGCTTTGGAATTATCACCAAGATAAACAGAGAATGAGGGATTGGTGCAGGCTGAGAACTAATTATCAAAAGAATCATAGAATCATAGAATCCTTAGAGTTGAAAAAGACCTTTGAAGGCCAACCCTCCTGCAATGATCAGGCACATGCACAGCCAGATCAGGTTGACCATAGCCTTATCCAGCCTTGCCTTGAAAGTCAGGGCATCCATCACATCTCTGGGCAACCTGTTCCAATGCCTCCTCACCTTCACTGTAAATGACATTTTCCTTATACGCAACCTACACCTACCCTCTTTAAGCTTGAAGCCATTTCCCCTTGTTCTATCACCACAGACTCTGCAAAAGAGTCTGTCCTCTTCTTTCCTGTAGCTCCTCTTTAGATACTCAAAGGCCACTCTCAGGTCTTCTCCAGGCTGAACAGCCTCAGCTCTCTCAGCCTGTCCTCATAGGAGAGATGTTCCATTCCTGGGATCATTTCTATGAAACCTCTTCTGGATGCACTCCAACAGGTCCATGTCTCTGCTGTCCTGAGGACAGCACATCTGGACACAGTACTCCAGGTGAGTACTGTACTGCAGAGCAGAGGGTCAGGATCACCTCCCTCACCCTGCTAGCTGTGCTGCTTCTGATACAGCCCAGGATATGGTTGGCTTTCTGGGCTGCAAGGGCACATTGCTGGCTCACGGCCAGCTTCCCATCCTCCAGTACCCTCCAGATCGTTTTCAGTAGGGCTGAACTCAATCCTTTCATCTCCCAGCTTGTATTGGTAGTGAGGGTTGCCTCGACCTCATGAAGTTCACCTGGGCCCACTGCTCAAGCCTGTCTTGGTCCCTCTGAATGGCATCCCAGAAAAAAAACAAAACAAAACAAACAAACAAACAAAAATAAAAAATAAAAAATAAAAACACAAAAAAAAAACAACAAAAGAACCAGAAACTCTTCAGGTGAGATGAAAAATTCACGTGCAGAAATTTCAGTCACATCGATTTTCTGTGTAGATGCGACACGACTCTCACAGCTAGATGAAATAAATATCCAGTTTTGCAATGGTTATCAAAGTGATACAATCTAATCTCTATCTTAATTTGGCTGATCTTGTATACAATACACCAACCTGAGAACATATTTGCAGGACAGAATTCCTTCAAAAGCAGCAACAGACTACATGACAGACTTTATGTACATATAAATATATATATATTTAAAAATATAAACTGCTAATGGATACTTCTACTACTCAATATAATTTCTTATCAGAAATCCTGGAGGACAAAAACATGTCCCTGCATTAATATGACTTTATAAAACCTACCATTACTGTTTTGTTTATTGAAAACATGTAAAATGAGTACCTCTAAAAGTGTCTTATATGTCAAAGGACAGTGATAGAAATCATTTGTGAAGATCTCACTCACTGAAGATGCTCACCAACAGAGCATTTAGATATATCATCAGGCTAAATGCTGTCAGAAGAAAATTCAGCTGAAATTCCATTTAAATTGAAGTACACAATTTCTTAACGTGGTTCCATCTGAAAAGAGAAGTTATGCCCATTTAAATTACAAATTCTGGTTTCAGTAAGTCAGATGAAGAGCCCAAAGTCATTTAGAAAGATAACAAATAAAGCACAGGCATCCAGTGTTTGAGGTCCCCACTCTTCACCTCTCTTCCCCCATTGTAATACACTCCCACTGCAACAACAGCTGGAGTATTTCCTTTTTATTCAAATTTAAAATATGTTCTTGTCACCAGCAAAGTGTGATTTAATATACTTCTATTCAGCATAATACTATTTTCTATTAACATGCTGAAGTTTCCTAACTTTACAATATTTCATTACAGATACAGCTTTAGATTTGCTCACATGAGCTAAATTAAACCATTCTTCAAGTTCAGGCACATTGTAAGATCCAAGAAAGAGCCAGCAGGAGGAGGGGGAAGATGCTGACAATTAAAAATTCTGTCTGAGCAAATCACCATTAATTATGCTATTGAAGGCTTGAAGATTTATCGGCAAAACTCTGTAGTGAGAAATGTCAGTTTTTAAAAAACAACAAGCCCTGTGGTATGTCTCTGACTCTTCTAATTTCTTGGAACACTTCAGATAAAAGACGGATCTGATCAAATTTATCTATTTTTCTTTTCAGTGATCTGACTTACATTAAAATAGACTTTTGAAACAAAAATGGAGATTTGTCTTTTGCCACAATGTCACCAGGAAAGAACACGTGGAGGAAGGACAAGGAGAAAAATCAGGTGTAAATGAGATCACAATGTAAAGTTTGGGAACAGAGCACGGCAGTTGTGTGTAAAGACAATTTCACACTGCCCCATAATCATGGTCCTGCACTGATGGCACACTCCTTGGGGGGAGAAGGAATTAAGTCAAGTCAAGAGAGCTTCAGCAAAAGCACTTCAAGGCAGATAAGCTTCCTAGACTGACATTTGGTAAACAGCATTTTAAGATGAGTTTTGCTAATGGAAGAGGGCAGTTGGCTCTCCTCAAACAAAGGGAGAGCCACAGAAAGCCCCAAGGGAGGAACTGCAGGTGGGAGATGCCGATATTTTTGCTGCGATGGCAAAACAACGGCAGGGAGATAACCTCGCAAGCAGCAACAGAGCAAGCGGAAGGAAGGCCTGTGCTGGGGAGAGGGGCTGGTAAAGTGAAAGGGCAACAGCTCCTGGTCCAAACCTTCCAGTGCTCTGCCTATAGAACAGGCTGCTGCCATCTCTGCTGCCAGGCCAAGTGGAGCAGGGCCCAGGGCAGGGCCTGGGGCAGCACGCACAGACACACAGCCCCACAGGGGCCTCTGTCCCCATCGTGTGCCTGAGATTCTGGGGATGCTTGTGCTCCAGTGACAGCCTGACCAGTGCAGTCCACCCATCCCAGTCCTTGCTCTGAAAATGGTGACTTCTTACAACAGGAAAACGAAATAGGGAAACAACAACAGCACACTGCAGCTCTACCCATCCAGAAACTCGAAGCATATACTTGGACATACTTGGGGCTCGGATCCACACACCACCAAACTCCCCGGTGTTTCAGGAAGGGCTAATTAAAGCGTTTCCTAGCGCAGCGCTGACGAGCAGCAGGCACACAGTCCGTTCACCTGTCAGAAGGGCCCCTCCCGTGCCCGCATTCCTGCAAGGCCCCGGGTCACGCCCCGACCCGCCCCTTCCCAGAATCGCGCCCACAGGCGGCGCCCGCAGGAATCGAAACTGGAGCCCCTGGGCGCGTACCCGCGAACCGCGCGACCCCCCGCGCCACCGAGCTCCGCACTCGCCCCGCCCCCGATGCCTCGGCAAATCGGGAAAGAGCGCGCACCGGCCGCGCGGTGACGTCACGTGCCCGGCCCCTCCCCTCCGCCCTCCGCCCGGACTCCGATGAAAGAGAACGTGCGGCTCGGGGCTCTCCCCCGCACTCGCGGTGTCACACCGTCCCCCTCCTCCCCCCGGCACCGCCTGACCAATCAGAGGCCGCTCAGGCCTTGGCTCCGCCCACGCGCGCGCTGACCTCACGGCACAGCCTCTGGCGGCTGGGCGGCGCGGCCAATCGGCGCTCGGAAGCTGAGCGAGGTCCCGCCCGCCCGGCCATCATCCGCCCGGCTCCGCCTCCCGCCCGGCTCCGCCTCCCGCCATCCCCCCTTTCTCCTCTCTGCCCCCTCCCAGCACCGAGCGCCTGGCGGCGGCGGGCAGCGCAGCCTAGTCCTGTCCGTGCCGGCGGCGGCGCCTGCTTGGGGCTCGGCGGCATGGAGTGCGCGGCGGCGGGCGCCGAGTTCAACATCCTCCTCGCCACCGACTCCTACAAGGTGGGCACGGCGGGAGGGACGGAGCCGGAGGGGGGGTCACCTCTGCGGGCACCGTTCCGGACCCGCGAGCCTGCAGGCGGCTGAGGCTCGGAGCCGGGCCGCCGCCGGCTGCCGTTCTCCGCCGGCCCGGTCGAGGCCGGAAGGGCCCCGCGGCGGGAGGGAGGGAGAGAGCGCGCCCGGCCTCGGGGCGGTGCGGGAGGACCGTCGGTGGGGCTCCGCGGAGTCCCGCGGCCCCGGTGCCTGCGGGGCGAGAGAGAAAGTGAAAGCGGCGCGGCCCGGCGGCGGCGGCCATGGCGGCACCGGGCGGCCCCCGGCCGCGGTGGGGACGGCGGCGGCGCACGTGCGGCCCTGGGGCGGCGCTGTCCCTCCCGCGCCGTAGCGGGGCGGCAGCGGCCCCGAGGAGCCGCCGGCCGGAGACGCGCGTGCGGGGCGGCCGCTCGCTGCGGCAGTGGCTCCTTGCGTCGAGTCTCCGTTCCGAGGCGGCACTTTGAGCGATGGCGCTGCCCGGCGGGGAGATCTCGCTGCGCGACCTCCCCGCTGCCGTTCCGCGGGGTGTGACCCAGAAGCCCTTTAGGCGCATCGGAACGTGAGCGCGCTCGGGCGCGAGCCCCGTGACTGCTTACCGCGAGCGCGGGGCTTCGGGCTCAGCGCGGGGTTCCGGGCGCAGCCACGGCGGGCAGCCCCCGGTCCGGCCCGCAGTGACTCCGGGAGTGACAAATGAACTTTTTCCTCTTCAGGAGCCGAATTGCGCTGTCAGGGAGGCGGTCGGTGTGCTGAACGCCGCCGCGGTCACACCACCGATTGTGGTGAAAGCGTTTGTTAACACTGTTGTCCCTTAAAGCTCTGACCGCTGGTATGGGGTTGGGCGTGTGCTGATAACCCAACGGAGCTGGAAACAGGAGATGTTATATCACGGCCATCTCCTGTCACTGGCAAACTCCTGGAGGAGTCTCTGTTTGCTGGCTCGTATTGCTGTCTCTACCAGCTCGTCTCTGAGGATATGATGCTACTATTACTGTTTGATGTTATACAAAAGAACTCTTTTTGTAAAGGAGTTGGTAGTGTATACCACCGCAGTCTGCAAACAGGTGAGCTGGAACATAGGAGACACCAATAGAACATCAGAGCGGCTCTCTCAACAAGGCTCTGGAAACCACTTTCATTAAGGGCTCAATCTAGCAACCCTCCTTAAGAACTACATTTTGGTCTTCTGTGTTTAGAGGGCTGGAGTGCCTTCTCCTGTGAAGACAGTCTGAGGGAGCAGGACTTCTTCAGAATGGAAAAGAGAAGGCTCTGGCAAAACCTGATAGTCTTTCAGTACTTGGAGGGAGCTTATGAACAGGAGAGGGACAGCCGAATAGTGACAAGACAAGGGGGAATGGCTTTACACTAAGAGTAGGGAGATTTGGGATAGATGTTAGGGTGAAGCTCATTACTCAGAGGGCAGTGAGGCCCTGGCACAGCTGCCCATAGAGCTGTGGGTGCCCCAGCCCATGGCAGGGGTTGGAGCTGGTGAGGTTTAAAATCCAAGCCATTCTATGTTTAAATTTAATGCAAACATGGAAGATCCACTTTTTTTTTTCCATGCTTGAGTCTAATCATGTTAAGTACTGTAGGCTAGCATTTAGGCAGTGCCCATTTTCCATCTCATTTGCACGCAACTTCTCTTAAATTCACCAGATCTGTTCTGGGATCAGTAGAAGTGAGGGGCACTGGAATGGCAGACCTGTTTTTTCTGCTTGCTGCTCTATAGGAAGGCTGATGTAGTGACATTCTGCTAGTGGTAAAAACCTTACAGGAGTAAGTAAAGGCTGAGTTCTTTCTAGTTCAGGTTGAATTGGGGTTAAGTTCTCTGTGACAGTTTGGAGTGTTTTACTTTATATCGGAAGTAGTTGGAGTTACCTTGGTTCTGTTAGGACTTTTCAAATTGCCTCCCCATGCTTTGTTCCAATCCTTAAGAACTCTTAGATCTTTGAGCAACACCTAAGTAGTTGCTTTTATCCTGTTAGGTAACAGGGGCACACATCACTTATCTGCTCCCTGTGTGATACTGTCATTTCCTAATCAATGAAGCTCACTTACTGAAAGCACTTTCAGTATGACTGCACTAAAAGATCTGGTAGTCCACAACATCAAGCTTTTTGCAAGAGTTACCAAACACTCTGATGCACTATTAGAACAAATTGATCTCATGTTTTTTTTTCCTTTATTCCTCCCTCAATATTTCTGCTATATCCACTGTTACAGCATCGGTTTGTATGCAATATGTGACAATCAAGCTATAATGGAAAACATCCACTTGTGTTCAGAAGTTTACTTCACAATTCCGTTGCAGTAGGCACAGATCTGTACAAACTAATGGTGGTGACAGAAGTCACATGCAGATAAACAGCTCTGCTGGGGAAAAATGTGCAGTGTCTCAAACAGTGCGGCCCCATCCGAGACAGCTGTCTGAGAGTAACAAGTTCTGGTGTCTGAGCTGTGATCTGGCGCTGCTTGTTTGTTTGTGTTTGGGTGCTATTGGCTCCAGTGTCCCAGTTCTGCGCTGAGGTAGGAAATCTGGGCTGGAAAGAAAACTGATTACTGGTTTAAGAGCCTACTAGGAGTTAGAAACAAGTGGTATATGGCAAAGTGGTTTGGTAGAGCTTTCTTTTAAGAGCTGATCCAATTCCTCTTCCCCCTCAACAGTTTTCCTGTTTGTGTGCCTATTGTAGAACGTTTCCTCTTAAGTTACAGAAGCTTATCAAACTCCCACTTTCAATACCATGCTTATTTTTCTAGTATGCTCCTTTTTTTCTGGGCAGGAATAATTCCCAGAGGGTAATTTCAGAGACATGCTATGCTCCATACCCAGTGTTGAGCTTCCTTTTTTGAGCTGAGGCTTGCAGATCTGTACCAGTGCTTCATGATTTTGGTGCAGGGCTTCAGATTGCCCAGTCTCTCTCTACCCCCCAATAACAATACAAACGTTTTTACGTCAGTTAGATGGGGGGAAAAAAAAAATAAAAATCTGAGTACTTTGTTGCAGATTCTTAAGCTTCCCCAAATTCTCCAGCAGTGATTTCCCTATTATGTGCCTCTGCTGCCAGGCCTGTGGTGGTCACACAGAGTGGTGTGTTTGTATCTCACTGGTGAGTGAAAGCAGTTGTTAATTCTTTGGATCATAAGACTTGCAAGAAATTAATTTGTGCATTGGTGCCTGGGGAACTGCTCTGTGACAGTGTCCAGTAGAGGCACTATGCTTTTAGTGGTGAAATTTCTTGCTGGTAACACAATACTTGCTGGAAGAGGGAAGTACTTGAAGTCCAAATTCTGGCTGCTAGTTGGAAAGCTGCAGCTGAGGGAATGGATGCAGGTAGA